GGAACATGCCCCTAAGGTCGACAGTGTTCTGTGGGATCTTCCAGATATGTAACAAATGCACAGGGTTCCACAGTAAGTAATACCCAATGCCACTACCGTAGTCCTCAGCTGTACTAATTTGGCCTAGAGCACATGTAAAAATCCATGGGCCGTGACTTCATAGCTATGCTATACTACTGTGTGTCTGCCTGCTTTTAAAGCAAACTAATACCGATTAAATCCTGTTGAGCATATTTCCATTTTTAGGGTTGTAATAGGCCTCTGCTTTGGCTACGCAAATGTATTTCCATTTTGTATGTCAGAGGATACGTTGCCAGTTTTATGTTGGCTTTATGGTTTTGTTCTGGCATCAACGGAAACAGATATTCATGATGTGGCAGAAGGCCAGCCACTACAAAATTAACCTGTTAAAGTGCTTTGATCCCGTTTTGGAATTGACAGATGCTTTGTGTAATAAAACAATTTAGTAACCCCAAAGCTGCACTTCCTGTAACACTGAAACACAAGCTGGTAGATGTCAGTAACCTTGCCATTTTTGTTGCTCAGTAAGAGCAAAAGTTCGTAAGATTGAGCTGTATAGGGAACCTCCATGTACGGTGGGAAAAAATTGGTTAAAAACAGTTTTGGAGGCAATGATCCATGTGTGAGTTTCTTGTAAGAATAGTTATGTCTTGAAATAGGCTATGAAAATGTAAGGTATGAATAGTAAACAATATTTAGCAGTCTTTTTGATACAGAAGTGATTTATCATAGGCAGTTTGATCAATCTGAAGTTACGCAAGTGAAACCTGTTAGTTAATAATTCTGTAACGGTTGCCTATGTGTTTCTCTCTAGAATGACATTCTGTCCGACAGGACATACTGTGTGAGATGGTGGTAGGCAGCTTTGGAGTTTTTGTTCTACTCTTATTTAGATCTCACTGCTCCATAGATGAGCAGCCTTCAACTGCTAACTTCATGGGTGATGAATGAGTTAAAGTCCAATTGTAAGGGGAGATATTTTTGCTGAGCTCATAATCTGTCTACTTCAAAATTACTTCATTTGTGATCCTCTTTAGGCGAGTATTCTTGTCACTAGTCCCAAATAAGGTCTCGCTAAGGAATGTAAGAAAGAAATTTTGATGTGTCTTCTGAAATTCTCTTCCACTTCTAACAAGCATGTTGCATTCATAAGCAACAAAGGAGTAATACCGTGCTCCTCTGGTATTGGGACAGTTTATTTTCCTTTTTATGCAATGGGTTGCTTTCCCATTTTGTGATCAAACAATTTACCCTGCTGTGTTTGTGCTCAGCTTCTCTGAAGACCTTCATATGCAAGTATCAACGGGCTCTGTATTCTATTTAAGCCACCATCACTGCTTTCCTGTGAATTTCCCGTAGAAAGTACTGCTTTTATTAAAGCTGCCTTTTACTGCCCCTTCTTTGATATGTGATGCTCTAACCTTTTCTCCAGGCTTTCTCAGGAATATTTGAAATTTTCCCTTTCTATTAAAAATGTGCATTTGTTAAATCTGAAACCTTTTAGGAAAGAATGCCATAGCTGAATTTAACTTCAAAAAGAATGGAAGAATTCAAAATGATGCGTGGTATATTACACTG